ATTTGCTGAAATCCGAGACTCGGTGCACTCCAACCAACTGGCGTGCTGCAACTGTATGGACCCCACTTCGTGAAATGTTGGCACAGAGGGCTCTTGTTGATTTGCTGGCCCGCCTTCACTTAGGGCGGGCACGAGGCTTGCTGGGGCCTTAGCCCAGAACATGTACATCATGGCAAGGCCCCTACTTGAGGGCTCAATCCTCACACATTCCTCACCTGGTGGCCAGATACATTCCTCAAAGCACTGGTGCAGCTTCCACCTTCGTGATGGCCTTCCCCGATGTAGCTGGATTCGAAACGCTTAGTTTTTTTTTCTTCTTCTCTTCATCATTTTCTTTTCTTCAGCCTCCAACCACGCCCCGAGCCCCCGACTTTTTAGGAGTAGGCTACTAGATGGACTTTGCGTTTGCCTGCGAAAGGTAGTGGTCGTTCATGTAACGAGGGTACATAGGGGTAGTGCCCGACACCATTCTATCATTTCATCCGATCACATTGAAAGGATTTCACGTTTCCCGGCGTCTAAGTCCCAGTTCCAGGCCCCGGAGTCCCAGAGCCCATGTCCCATAATACCCATCCCGGACGTAGACAAAAGACGCGTCTAGGTCGGTGAGTACCGTCCATTCCTGTCAAAGTCCCGTAGGCCCGATTCGGTAGCGAGTCCGTCGGGAGATCCGTTAAAAAAACTTAAAATTGGAACGATACAGAGAAGAATAAATTAGCATCGCCCCTGCGCCAGGATGACACGCAGAAATCGAGAAACGGTCCAAATTAAGAGAAAAAAAATCAAAACAAAATGTTATAGAGTCCCATAGGCCATGCCAGTCCGTCCCGCTCGTAGGCAGCTCACTCCCACGAAAGTCGGCAAACTTCCATATGCATTTTTAAGGTTGGCCGGCGGCTCCACAATCTACCGCCTCCTCCCTCCTCCCTCCTCCCTCCACAATCTACCGCCTCCTCTTCCCGCTATCTTCTTCCCTCCCCATCGCCCCTGCCATGTTCCACTAGTTTTAACGGATCTGCCTCCACGTCAACCAAACTTCCCTCGTCCCCTCCATCTCCCACCATCATCTTTCTCCACCTCCTCCCTTCTCCCTCCTTCCTCCCTCTGCCATCTCCCGTCCTTCCTCTCTCCACATCAACCCAACTTCCCTCATGGTCCCACTTGGTCTGGATGCTGTCTGGGTACCTGCATACAAAACAAGTGTGTGTGTCTGACCGGCGGCCTAGGCTGGGTACACTGTGACTTTGACTGTTGGATGTCCGACAGTTGACTTTTGTCAATCATCTCACGTTCAGGCCCTGGATCTTTTTGTGGGGTTCTTTTCCCCCCTTCGGCCTGGGTCTGAGTGCGGCCAGGTAAGGCCCTCAAACAATCTACGAGACATACGGCATGGGTTATTGCATTCCTGCCGGCCCAATTTTCGAGTTTCATCGCAAAAAAGACATTAATTTCCTTTCAACCCACGTTCATATGCAGCAACTATATCAGGAGCAGTAGGTAAGAGTTCTTTCTTACTAAACCATCTGGCTTCAGACGGAGGTTGAGACTTGAACTGTACCTCATACTGCTTATGTGGTCTTCCTCTGCCACCTGTGGAGAAATAGCCATGTTCCAAAATCTTCTCAACTTCATATCCTCCATTCATGGAGGGTGGAAACTTAGACGGCCTGTTAGGAGTTATCTCCTTCTACATACGGTAGCAGTTTAGACGCATGGAAGACAGGATAGGTCAGTAGGTGTGGGGGTACACCTATTCGGTAGGAAGGTCCATCTGCATCCCCAATCACCTTGAGAACTTCCCAGGGACCATAGTAGACGGGCAACAATTTTTGAGACATGTTTTCTTCCAAGGCAAATTCTTTTGACTTCACCCATACCAGATCTCCTTCTTGAAACTGCGATGGCCGACGATGTTTGTTGGCCTGCTCAATCATCTGAAGTTGGGCTTCCTATATATGTTCTTTTACCTTTTTAATATCTTCTTCATACAAAATTGCAAATTTACGGGTTCCTAGGGGTAACCTCCGAATCTGGTCCCGAGTTAAAGCATCGATGGGACATCGAGGCTTCCAACCTTTATGCAGTGCATTAGGAGTTCTTCCTATAACAGTATGTATACTGTTATTATAAGCACTAGCAATCTTAGGTGAGTTCTCATCCCAATCGATTTGATCGGGTCGAAACATGCGCAAAAGTTGTTGGCACAGACGATTCATTTGCTCAGTTTGGCCATTCGTTTCGGGATGTCTACCTGACGACATGGTCAACCTAGTGCCATAGACTTTCATCAACTTTTGCCATCGTAGACTAGTGAAACGAACATCCCTGTCAGAGACGATGGTTTTCGGGAATCCATACTCAGAAACCCACCGTATCTGAAAAATTTGGAAAACCAGTTCGGTTCTAGCTTCAGCAGGCAAAGGAATGAACAAAGCATACTTTGAGAGTCTATCTACGATGACCATTACCTGACTGCTGCCATCTCCACTCTTAGTGAGACTCGTAAAGTCGATGGAGATAGACTCACTTAACTCACTTGGAATAGGCAGTGGTCTCAATAATCCCAACGGATTCTCATGTGTGGGTTTGTTCCTCTGACAGACAAGATAAGTCCGCACATACGTTAGTACATCCTCTTTCATTCCTTTCATTCAAAGCGTTCTCGGACATCTGCATATGTCTTATTAAAACCAAAGTGTCCCTCAGCATCATGACATTTCCTAATGATCAAACTCTTAATTTGTTCTTTGTGAGGAATACATATTAGTTCTTCGGTTTTATCCATGAAGAAGAGTAAGCCATTAGTCATTCGATACTCTAGGAATAGTTCAGGGTTCTTGCGTAAGGTCCCAATGATAGGACTCTGGATAGGATCACTCTCATAACCCTTACGTATTTGTTCTTTCAGTTCAGTCCCAATATCGAGATAGGACACTATTGTTCCAAAGAAGTTTGCATGCCTGGACAAAGCATCCGCAACCACACTAGACTTTCCTTTTATTGTCTTTAGTTCAAAGGTATCGATGAAAGCGGACCATCTTACAAACTTATCAGAGAATCTAGGCTGAGTCTTTATCCATTTCAGGGTGGAGTGATCTAATTAGACAGCGAAGTGTCTCCCTAACAAGTAGTGTTTCCAGGTGTCTAGTGCAAAGACTGACGCATATAGTTCCCTTTCATAGGTGAAATTGGCCACTTTCTCTGACGGAAGTCTCCTAGACATAAGCTTTATGGGTCTATATCCCTTATCGTCGTCCTGTTGTAACACAACACCAATTCCATACTAACTTGCGCCAATTGTAACGATGAAAGGAAGAGAAGGATCAACAATCTTTGAGATAGGGTCATGAGTCAGAACATGCTTTAACTTCTTAAACGATGACTCACAATCTTTGTCCCACAACCAATGTCTTTCCTTCTTCAAATGTCTTCTCATAGGAGAAACCATCAAGGAAAAGTTTCTGACGAGTTTCCTATAACAACTAGCGAGTCCTAGAAAAGATTTCAACTTCGTTATAATCTTAGGTTGGGGTCAGCCTCGAATTGTTATAATCTTCTTTTCTTCAGGCCTTAGTCCTTCAAGCTTAGCAAACTTACACTTCTTCGGGTTTAGTTTGAAGTTGCTTTCACGCAACTTCTGCAAAACCATTCGTCGATGTTTTTCGTGGTCTTCTACGCA